CCCTTGCACAAAACGACGATAATTTTTCTAATTTCATAGACAACAGAAGACGGTATTTTTTCTACATAACCCCCCCCCCCTGACTTTAAAGCTGCGTGTGTTTAACCAATTGAGGAAAGAGCAAGACTTAATTACCTTCTATTGGCTATTAAGATTTCCGGTGCTCGGTACCATCTAGTGGCCACGTAGTCAGTTAGAGTTGGGTCGCTGTCGCTCAAAATTCCTTCTGAGCCGTGGGTTAGGGAGCGCGACAAACCAAAATCCGCTATTTTGCATCTACAATGCATACTGATATAGTCAAAAAAAGACTCCATGTATTTATGTATACTACATGTTGGATAAACGTCAGATATAAATATACAGAGAGTCTCAGTCTCTTACCTGCATAAGCTGTCCAATAACACGTTACTAGGCTTCAAGTCGCGATGGATCACATTTCCAGAATGGATATACTTCATAGCTTTAAGCAGCTGATACATAACATAGCGTTTATGAACATCCTTCAGAATATTTCCTCTCTTGATCACGTTGTGTAAATCGGTTTCCATATACTCGAAACCCAGGTAAATATCTCTATTGTTGGCCGCTCTGGGGCCCAAATCGCGCATTAGAATCGACTGCAGGAAAATGTGGAAATAAGACAACCTCACCTGTGAATACTGTGTAGTTTGACAATATTCGGATGGTTTTTAAAAGACTGCAAAAATATGATTTCCCTAAAGGTTCGTTGCGCGTCGGTTTGGTTGCGAAACGCGTCGAATATCTTCTTAATGGCAACGATCTCTCGGGTTTTTCGATCCAAAGCTTTCCACACTATTCCATAGGCACCTTTTCCCAATCGTTTCTGAATGTCAAAACGTTTCGCGATATGGTCATCAATTTCGGACGTTTTGTCTTTGCAGTGTGCCATCATCAGGTGGTCTGTTCTTTTTTTTTAGATAAAATTCGTGTAAATGGCCATTCTACATTGAAACGATGTGATTGTCAGTCAAGTGATTGACGTTGATCTGACAAGAGCCTGGAAATATACACATGTAGATATGAATAATAGAGAATATTGAAAATAATTAAAATAATAATTAAAGCGAGCTTTGAGATTCTAAAGCTTGCAAACTTGCGTTCATTCAAATCGGTATATCTCCAAAACGTTTGTTCAGAAATCCCTAACCTCTAGAGAGACAGAAGCAGAATTGTCCACATATGGGGGCTCTTGAAGTTTAAATATCATATCTCTAAAAAACGGATGGAAATATTAATTAAATCACATGAACTATTCGGTGGAGCGTTTCGAATGCTATCGATTTTCCCTTGGGATGTCACAAAAATTGGTAACCTCTAAAGAAATAGAAACAAAAATGTTATTATTTCGCGGTTCTTGAACGTTAAACATTATATATCTCAAAAAATGGTGGAAATATCGATTAAGTCATAAGAACAATTTCAATAAGTTTTCGTCTGGGGGTTGTAGCCAAATTTCTGATCTCAACAGAGATATGGCCGAATTTTGATGAATATGTACATTTCCTTTCTATCTTTCAAATGGTTCAAGTTCCTATAAAAATTAAGTAGAACAAACAAACAGTAACTCACCCTTAGTTATCGCAGCTCCAAACTCACCGGTTCAACTGCTTTGGAAACGCGCGTACTATCGGTTTCTCCGGATCCAGAGAATGTTTTGTCATTAATCCGGTTAAAAAACAAATGGTTTTGTTTATTCGGCATGTTCAACATGCAACTGAGTCGTCATGGTGACAAATCAATCAGCCCGTGTACGGTTTCGAGCCAGGCAGAAGTCACCCCCTTATTGTATCTCAATCAGCGGCCAACTGCCACAAAACTGAACTTCGATCACGCATGCCATGAGCCAGCCATTTGAACACTTTTGTTCATTTGTTTAGTGGTGTTTGTTTATTCATTGTGACCATGACAAATGAAGGTTTCAATTTTCCATTATTTAGTTGGGTCACAGAGCTGAAATTTGGGTCAAAAGTGGAAACGGGGAAAGATTCGATAAATAACGGATTAAAACTCCAGACCTTTTCAGCAAGCAATTTGCCATTTAAGTTTTCATTCGAAAATGCGGACGATCAGAGTGGGGTTTCGCCCCCAAAAGACGTGTGGAATTAGAAAAGTTTGTTTATGCGAAGCTATTATATAAAATATCAGGGCAGATGTAGTAGAATTTTGAAAGTTCCTGAACTCAATAAGTCCTAATATATGTATAAAATTAAGAAACGATTTAAAATAGATATTCAATCAATCGTTGTATTGTATACATGTATAGGACTTTTCGCTTCCCCATTTTGAAAGCTCTCTTTTAAATCCAAACAATAGTTTGGATTTTTTCGAAATTCTTCATAGTTAAAAAGTTAGAAGCGAAAATGCCAATGTTTAAAAGTGGAGTGATATTCAAGGGCGGATCCAGGGGGGGG